CTGGGAAAGATGGAGGGCAATAGAAGAATGGGACGACAGAGAATGAGGTGGCTAGATGGAGTCACTGAAGCAGTAGGCGTGAGCTTAAATGGACTCCAGAAGATGGTAGAGGACAGGAAGGCCTGGAGGAACGTTGTCCATGGGGTCACGATGGGTTGGACACGACTTCGCAACTAACAATAACAACAATAAGTACCAACAACTAAACATGAGAAGACAGAGAATTAAGAACAGCTAGAAGCTCTCTGAAAAACCTTCAACCCGATATAGAAGGATCTTCCCTTACCTAATGAGGCATCGTGATGTTGAATTTTCTCCTTGGAAACAGTTCTGAAAAACAGCCCCTGAGCAGGATTTCTGGGATCCCCCCTTGCCTCAGAACAATCAGCGCCCACTTCCAGAAAGGACCTCAGAACCTGAAATATAAACAAGGAAGTGAATAGAACAGGAAGAGCATAACTGGATTTTCTGTTCGGCCTACAATGTTGCAACTCATAGGTATGTCCATCAGTGGAAATGGAAGAAGCCAATGGGAATATTGTTCCAAATACATCATTTGGAAGAACAGAGGAACCATTTCTCTAACAAGGTTCTCTAAACATCTTGTATTATGAAGTCTCTTAGGGAGATATTTAAGAATTCAAGCAGATTAAGATCCCTCCATATTTCCCAAGAGGAACATCTCTCACCTCGTGTCCTCCCTGCTCCTTCTCTGCTTGGGTCAGCAGGAAGCCTTCCGCCAGGGCCACCGCCTGGCAACTGGTGTCTGCTCGGCACTCCCGCACCCAGCGCTGCATCTCCCCGGGCAGGACGGCCAGAAACTGCTCCAAGATCAGCCGGTCCAAAATCTGAGCCTTGGTGTGCTTCTCAGGCTGCAACCATCCCCAGCAAAGGCGGTGAAGGCGGCTGCAAAGCTCTCGCAGCCCCTCGGCCTCCTGAAAGGGGCTGTTCCTGAAGTGCCAGTGCTGAATCTCAGAACTAAGAGCTTTCTCCAGGATCTTCTGCCCGGGTCCTGCCCAAACCTCCCCACAGCTCCCAGGCTGAGGAGAAACAGAGCCTTTCCCCACTCCCTTCCAGGCTGGCTTGTTTGCATCCATTTCGGGCCTCTTCTCTTGACAGGGATCCAGAAGGGCCCTGTGGATCTCCTGGGTCCCCAAAGGTCTTTTCAGCCGTGGGATCTGAAAGAGTTGCACAGAAAGCCCCGGAGAAAATTATCATGCCATTCATCCCCCAAGCAGTCTCCAGCATTTACATCGGAGGTGGAAAAGAAAAGAAAGTTCAGGAACTAGAGAGCTGCCCCTCCCTCCTCGGCCACCGATAGGAGAAAACCCTCGGGGAGGGGAGCGAAGGGAGGAGAACCCGCCGGGTCACGTGAGCCTGGCGAGCCAATGGCGGGAGAGAAACGCCCATCGGGTTTGAGCGGGAAAACAGAATCGCCGGGTCTCCTCACAACCGCTTCGATGCGCGACTTTCCCGTCTTCACCCTGAGGGGGTTTTTTGGGGAGGGGTGTCTATTATTTTTTACGCTTCCTCGTCATGCTCTGTGGTAACATATCTGAAAAGTTTAATGCAGGTAGTCCTCGACTTCCATTCATTTTAGAAGATGAAACGGTTACAGCATGCGAGCGCGCGCGGCTTCAAAGTGGCAGGACGTTGGGCGATGTCCATTGGGAGGCGCGCATGCTCAGTCGCCCTCCATACGAGGGTGGATTTCCCCCCTCCCTCTGTGGTCTCTGGAGGAAACCCGCGGGGAGGGGAGCGAAGCCTGCCGGATCACGTGTGCCTGGCGAGCCAATGCCGGGAAGCGTTTGTCAGGTTTAGGCGGGAAAACGCCAGTCGCAGTCTCCTCAGCTAGGCACGACTCTCTTCCACCTGAGGGATTTGGGGTGTGTGTGTCGTCTTTATTATTTTTTTTAGACTTCCTCATCATGTTTTGTGGTATTGGGGAGTGGGATGTGGGCCTCCTGGTGGGGCATTATTGGAAAAGGACCCCATTAAGGATAGATTGGCTTGGACAAAACCTGCGTCCGGTTGTTTAGGGCACAGAATGAAAATCAAATGTCAAACCATCGGTTGATTTCTCTTCTGCATCTCAGCAATGACACACAGCTTTGGAAAACAGCCTCAATTTTAGCTCTGGTTGAAAAGAAAATGACCTGCAGAACTTGTGAACTGCAAAAGGACTCACCAGCTGCCCTTCCCAACGGTCCTCTACCTGGCTGAGTATGAAGCATTTGGCCAGCAGCACTGGAGACATCACAGTCAAAAACACAATTTGGGCATCTTTCGAGCTTCTCAGGCAGACCCCCAACACCTCCCTTTTTTCTCTCGCTCTCCCCATTACTCAATTGGGCCTCTGGAGAAGCTCTTGCCTGCCTTCCCAAACTTGGGCCTATTGCTTGTAGGTCACATTTGTAGAAAGTCACTAAAAATTTCAGTTCTCTGTACCCCTTTGAGTTCTCGGATATTAAGCAAGATGATGGCTTAAACCAGTGGTTCTCAACCTATGGGTCACAACCCCATTTGGGGTCGATCGACCATTTCACGGGGTCGCCAAGCAAGGCTGTCTGCCATTTTTTTCCCCTTTTCCGGCGGGTGCCTTACCTCCCTTGGGCTGGGCCAGCTGGTGGTCGGCCTGCTCCGTCTCTGCCGCTTGCCAGCTACGCCTCGGCCGGCGCAGGGGGCAGAACCACGCATGCACGGCGCTCCCGGGCAGGGAAAGTCCTTGACTTATGACCGGTTGGGTAGTCCTCGACTTACGACCGGTTTAGTCCTTGGCTTACGACCGGTTTAGTCCTCGGCTTACGACCGGTTTAGTCCTTGACTTACGACCGGTTGGGGGGTCGCAGCATTAAAAAGGTTGAGAACCACTGGCTTAAACCATTTTAAATGCCACATGGTTTCTCTCTGTATGTTAAAATGACACAAATATGAAAGTTCCTAACAAATGCCATACATTTATATAAGAGAAGAGTTTCCATGTTTTATAGACTTTGTTGCTTTGTTTATAGGTAGATCTGCTTGATAATGCCTTTCTCATATTCCATGGATTTCTATGCATCATTGTGCAGTGTGAATTCTTTGAAACAAGTCAGATCTGAAATCATTCCACCTCTTTCTACAACTTTCTAGACCAGGCATGTCAAACTCACGATGTCACATCACGCGATGTATTGGGACTTTTCCCCCATTGCCGGGCAATGGGGTGGGTGCAGTTTTGGCGTGATGTATCTGGCCCGTGGGCTGGCAGTTTGACATGCCTGTTGTAGGCCAATCCCATTCTGCTCCCCTCACTAAAGATTTTCCAACATATTAAACTTTTTTCTTTTAGCTTCCTTTGGTGTATCTTAACTAGGGGCAACATTTACACTGCACAACTGTTCTGAATAATTTACTATACTAACCCTTCAAAAGAGGAATATTGTTAATACTCAGGATATACTGAAACAGTTTTTTTTTAAAAAGCTACATTAAGATTAAAAGAGTCAAAATCATGCCAGACATTCTCAAATTTGTAATGACATGATCCTCTAAAACTTCATATAGGATTGACCTTTCTGATCATCTTGATATCGCAAATTCAGGAATCTGCCAGAGGCACTAAAGTGACATCAAAAATCTTGAGAAACAGTAGTTCTGGAATATAATAGGGAAAAAAACCGATGAATTTGCTTTCAGCTGAATGTTATTTCTTCATGATAGAAGATTAGAAAATGATTCTGGTTGCCTTGCTCAGAGAACTGAAGACATAAAGAGAAACAGTTCAATTGAACTTTCTCCTTTATTAAAAAAAATATTGCTCATGGTACACTGGAATCAATAAAACCATTTTCAAAGTAAAGTACAATCATAAATGTACTGACTGCACGTCTGTTTTCAGCAGGATTAATGTGATTTTGCAACCAGAGATCCTTAGCTAAACAGTTATATAAACATTCGGGAGAGATTTTCACTGATTAAAAAAAAAGTTTTAATACTTTGCTACTTGTTTAAGGAAGGCAGGTGTTTTCAGTAGTTACAGCTAAAATGTGCACAAATGTTTTCCCCTGCTTTTGCTTATACATGTCAGCTCTCCACAAAGCCTGGAGCCTGATCCCGGACTTTGTCCAGATGTTGCTTCCGCCTAGATAAACACACATGACCAGGCAGAGATTTTGATATAACAAATGGGGCAATTTAATAACAGATTCTCATGAGCTGGACCTAACTGACTAGGGTAATACCTCTGGAACTAGGATATATATCCTGGCAGCTCTCCATGTATTTATTCATTTTTTTCTGTGGTGATCCTCCAAACGAAGGAAGATTTCCTTAACTTCTTTTCACAGGATCCTTGTACTCCTACATCCTTAAAGTGGATCCTTTTCTGGGAAGTAAAACAGATCAACAAGGTGATTCTCTGTATTTCATACATTCATACTGTACTGTCTCCCCTGCAGGAAACTTTTTCTGGGAAATAAGAGAGCACCTTGTATTGAAATTCTTACTAAATTTCTTACTTTTATATAGTTTCTCCTTTCATGGAATGTAAGACTCCTGCTCTATAATTTCTCTTCAAGACACATATTTCTCCCATGTGGGGCTAAGGGAACTCTCACCTTAGGCACAAAACCAGCTGGGGTATCTTAGGCCACTAACTTTTTCTCAACTCTATGATGGTAATAATGGCAAACCACTTCCAAAAACTTTGCAAAAAAATCCTGCAAAAAAACTACGTCAAAGGAACAATAAAAAAACTTTGAAATACTTTGCTTACATCCTATTTCCTTCAAATGGTGCCTTTTAAGAGAAATCAGTTCAAAATTCTTGACTGAAGTTCTCTGCATTTTATGCCTTTACTGTACAATGTGTTTGATATCACATTGGATTCTTTCACAGGAATTACTTCAATCACTACAGGCATCTTCCCCACATGGGTCCTTTTATGGAAAATAAGTTGATTGTTCCACATTAAGTTCTTTCCACACATCATTAATGTATATTTTTTTCTCTCCTGTGTGGATCCTTTTGTGAGAATTAAGGGAACTGTTCAAACTGAAGCTCTTTCCACACTCTGTACATTGATAGGGTTTCTCTCCTGTGTGGATCCTTATATGGGAGGTAAGGTTACAGCTTTTGCTGAAGCTCTTTCCACACTCTATGCATTTATACGGTTTCTCTCCCGTATGGATCCTTTTATGAGAAGTAAGGGAACTGTTCAGACTGAAACTTTTCCCACAATCCTTGCACTGATAGGGTTTTTCCCCTGTATGTATTCTCCTATGGGAAATAAGTTGACTTTTCCACCTGAAACTTTTCACACACTCTGTACACTGATACAGTTTCTCAGCTATGTGGATACTAATATGGTTAGTAAGCGAGCTGCTTGAAATAAAACTCTTTCCACATTCCTTACATATATAAGGTTTCAACCCTGAATGGATCCTTTTATGGCAAATAAGGGAACTGCTGCTGCTGAAGCTCCTTCCACACTCCATACATTTATATGGTTTCTCCCCAGTGTGCATTCTGTTATGGGAAGTAAGGTGACTGCTCTGAATAAAGGACTTTCCACACTCCATGCACTTGTAGGGTTTTTCTCCTGTATGAATCCTTTTATGAGAAGTAAGGGAATCACTATAACTGAAGCTCTTTCCACACTCTGTGCACTTAAAGGGTTTCTCTCCTGTGTGGATCCTTTTATGGGAGGTTAGGTGATTCCTGTTGTTAAAGCTCTTTCCACAATCCAGGCATTTATAGGGTTTCTCTCCTGTGTGGATCCTTTTATGGGAATTAAGAATACTGCTTTTGCTGAAGCTCTTCCCGCATTCCAAGCATTGATACGGTTTCTCTCCTGTATGGATCCTTTTATGAGAAGTAAGGGAACTGCTCATACTGAAGCTCTTGCCACAGTCCATGCATTGATAGGGTTTTTCCCCTGTGTGCATCCTTTTATGAGAAGTAAGATGACCTTTCAACCGGAAGTTCTTCCCACACAATATGCACTGATAGGGTTTCTCTCCTGTATGGATCTTTTTATGAGAAGTAAGAGAACTGTTCATACTGAAGCTTTTTCCACAGTCCTTACATTCGTATGGTTTTTCCCCTGTATGCATCCTTTCATGGGAAGTAAGGTGACTTTTCCACCTGAAGCTTTTCCCACAGTCAGTACAGTGATATAGTTTCTCTCTGCTATGGGTACCAATGTGATTAGTAAGGGAGCTGCTTAAAATAAAACTTTTCCCACATTCGTTGCATATATAAAGTTTCAATCCTGAATGGATCCTTTTATGAGAAATAAGACACCTGTTCAAACTGAAGCTCTTTCCACACACTGTGCACTGAAAGGGTTTCTCTCCTGTATGGATCCTTTTATGAGAAGTAAGGGAACTGTTCATGCTAAAGCTTTTTCCACAGTCTGTGCACTTATAGGGTTTTCCCCGTGAATGGATCTTTTTATGGGTAGCTAGATTACCTCTCCACCGAAAGCTCTTTCCACAGTCCACACATTTATAGGGCTTCTCCCTTGCATGGATCATTTTATGGGGAGTAATGTTACTGTTATTGCTGAAGCTCTTTCCAGTGTTGCACTGATTGCTATAGTTGGGTTTTGCTTGAAATATTTCACCACTTCCTTGCCACTTTCCCATTCTGCTTTCTTTACAATCGTGTTGGGTCAGGAAATTATCTGTTTCTGTGCAATCGAGAATGGATTTTTCTCTCCCATTATAAGATTGGTTTTCCTCATATCTCCTTTTTCCACACTTATCTGCAGATGTGTCTCCTTGTATTTCAATTTTGATTATTTGTGATGGCACCACATCTGGCTCTGGGTAATTTTCACTGTCCTGATCACCAACTGCTTGAGGGGGAAGAAAAAGAAATCAGAAAAGTCTTCAATTTGCTCTCCCCATGACAGTCTCTAGCTTGTATCTATTCATTGGCATTTGCAAGGGGAGCAGCAGGTAAATGGCAACATGAATATTTATTCATTTAAAATTTCGGTACATAGAACTGCAGAGATGGACTAGAATTAATATAAGAGGAAAAGACAAAGGAGATGTCATCATTTTAACAAGATCTGCACAGATCTCCTAAGCTGCAAAAAAAAACAACCCATCTAGATCTCCTCAATCTGACTTAATTTTCCTCCAGAGGAAACTTTACCTAAAGAGGCCACAATCCTAGATGTCTCCAACATAACTTCTTGGTGCAAGACTTTCTGGTTGGGATCCAGCAGCAACCATTCTTCACTGGTGAAATGAACAGCTACCTCCTCAAAAGACACAGGACCCTGAACGAGGAAGGAACAGAATCAGAACCAACATTAATGATTCTGGTTGATCCCTAGTAGGAGTGGGACAGGGATAGGGCATCCATTGTGGCTCTTCTTGACCTCTCGGCAACTTTCGATACCATGAACCACGGTATCCTTTTGGGTTGACTCCAGGAGTTGGGAATGAGTGGTTTTGTGCTGCTTTACCTTCTTCCTCTGGCATCAATCCCAATCAATAGGGAGTGAGAGGTCCAGCCTGTGGGTCCTGCTTTCTAAAATGCTATGGGGCTTAATGCACTGTTGTTGTTTTTTCTCTGTAGCTATGGGATGAGGTATCATCAGGATGATACCCCAGTGCACATCTCTTTCCTGGGTGAAGTAAGTGATGTTGTGGATGTGCTCTCATGGTGCTTGGAGGCTGTGGGGGTCTGGGTGGGGGACAACAGGCTTCAACTGAACCTGTTAAGATGAGTGGTTGTGGATAGAAGGGGCTTCCACCTCTGGGGTTTAACATCTTTGGCTTGGAAGGACTTGTACTGCCCCAAAAGGACCTAATACAGTGATGGCGAACCTTTTAAAGACCAAGTGCCCAAACTGCAACCCAAAACCCACTTATGTATCGTTGGGTGCCGGGTGGGCGTGGCTGCAGTGGTAACGGCAGACTGGGTGGGACTAAAAAGTTCAATCAATTCCAACTTTGAAGATCTTTTTTTTTCCGCGAGAAGTTGAAATTGATTGATTAAACCTTTTTTTTTTTTTTTTGCACACGGTGGCAGAGGCCTAAAGTGAAAAGGTTTCATAAAACCGAGCTGAAGGCCCAGGACTGGGGCTACGGCGCGCGTGCCCACAGAAAGGACTCTGCGTGCCACCTGTGGCACGCGTGCCATAGCTTCGCCACCACGGACCTAATATATAATCTGGGTGTCCTCCTGAGTCATGTAGTCATGGCTAGGAGGACGTTTGCTTAACTTTGGAGGTGCACAAAGGTACAATTCTTCCTGGATCAAGAAGCCCTCCTTTCAGTCACTCACGCCCTAGATGGTCATTTCCTAGATGGACTACTGCAATGTGCTCAACAAGAGACTACCCTTGAAGAGTATCTAAAAGCTGCAGGTGGTGTAGAATGCAGTGGCACAAGCAGTTCTGGGTGCCTCTAGGGTTGCACATGCAATACCTCTGAAATGGGTGTTAGTTTGCTTCTGGGTCCAATTCACAGTGTTGGTTGTTACTTTTAAAGCCCTTCGTGGCACCAGGTTATGTGAAGAACTGCTTCTCAAATCGACTCATATGACCCAAGTCAGGCAGGGAGGACACGTTGTAGATCTTACTTGTTAAATAATTTTGGCTGGTAACATCTAGGGGAGAGGTCCCTCTCTGCTGTTGTCCCCAAGCTGAGGGTTAAACTTTTAACTTTGATAATTTTTAAACTCTTTTAACTTTTAACATGTAAATCTTAACTCTGTTTTTAACTGTTTTAATGTTGTTCTTTGTTTTTATACTATTTTATGAACCACCCAGAGTCACTTAGGCGAGATGGGCAGTGTAGAAATTTGATGAATAAATAAAACCATCTCCTTACCTCTTAAGGAGAGGGTACACACAACACTGTCTCCATCTAGGCCAGAGATGGCACTATGGCCCCTTTATGGCTGACTCAGGAATTCTGGGAGTTGAAGTCCACAAGTCATAAAAGGGCCATCGTTTCCCACCCCTGATCTAGGCAATGTAGAGTGGCAGGTTCTCCCTGAAGATTATAAATATTGTTATATGCGTAGTAATTGTATTCCTAATTTCATGTTAGTAATAAAATGCCCATAGCTGATATTCTCAGATAAGAAGGTTCAGTATACAACCACTAAAGAATTCAGTGTTTCCAAAAAAGCCTTGAGAAGAGCAGGCTAAGTGTGACTGACCACTAACTTGAATCCTAATTTCCCTGTCCCACAATGCTCTGGAATAGCAATATCATATACACTGAGACCACAAATGACCCCAAAGCAGTCTCCACCTGCTCCCCTATATTAGCCCCCGATATTTTCTTTCCTACCTGAGCTGGAGATCCAGCTGCTCCATCAGCTCCACCAGTACAAAGAGAGCAACCGATGAACAACGGTGACTCCATTTTGTTCTCTGGGAAAGAGAGAGAATGGATGAAGCAGGAAAGGGATTAATTCCACCTTTTGTAGTTAGAAGGCATGACTTTTTCCTATACTGTGGAGAGCACACCCATTTCTCTATCCTAACCTCAGTCTTCAGTGGCATTTCATGGGCTCCGTCTTTGGGCCCGAGAATGAAAGAAGAGAAGGAACACGCCAGAAAGGAAAGGTAGTGTTGGAGATAATCCAACAGGGAAATGTGTGAGAATTTACTCAAAATCACCTATCAAAAAAGCCCAAAGTTATTCTTGTCTCTGAGAATAAAGAGAAGTATCTCAGGATAGAGGAGCCAGAATGAAACCCAGGAGATCCCTAGAAAGGTCCGTTTTCTGCAAACGGGAATCAATGGGTATAGGTCAGGGGTAGGCAACCTTGGCTCTTTTATGACTGGTGGACTTCAACTCCCAGAATTCCTGAGCCAGCCGTGCTGAGGAGAAAGGGAGAGGTTTCCAAGCTGAGCCATGCTGGCTCAGGAATTCTGGGAGTTGAAGTCCACGAGTCCTAAAAGAGCCAAGGTTGCCTACCCCTGGTATAGGTTCTCCTCCTTGAGCAGGGGGCTGGGCTAGAAGACCTTCAAGGTTCTGTTCCGTTCCATTCCATTCCACTGGAAGGTAGTATGTGGAGTGACGGGACAGATTTCCTTTGTGGGACCTTAGAATAACAGAGTTGAAAGGAACCTTGGAGGTCTTCTAGTCCACACTCCTGTTTCAGGAGGAGACCCTATACCCGTGGTAGCAAACGTATGGCACGCATGCCACAGGTGACATGCAGAGCCCTCTCTGTGGGCATGCGCGCCGTCGCCCCAGTCCTAGGCCTTCAGATAGGTTTTATAAAACCTTTTCACTTTAGGCCTCCGCATGCAAAAAAAAAAAAAAAGATTCAATCAATTTCAACTTCTCGCGGGAAAAAAAAAGATCTTGCAAAGTTGGAATTGATTGATTGAACTTTTTAGTCCCACCCAGTCTGCCGTTACCACCGCAGCCACGCCCACCCAATGGGCCACGCCCACCCAATAGGCCACACCTACCCAATGGGCCACGCCTACCCGACACCCGACGATACATAAGTGAGTTTTGGGTTGCAGTTTGGGCACTCGGTCTCTAAAAGGTTTGCCATCACTGCCCTATACCATTTCAGACAAATGGTTGCCCAATATTTTCTTGAAAACCTCCAGTGATGGAGCACCTACAACTTCTGGAGGTAATCCAGTCCACCGGTTAATTGTTCTAATGGTCAGGAAATTCCTCTTTATTTCTAGGATGGTTCTCTCCTCCATCAGTTTCCATCCATTGCTTCTCGTCCTGCCTTCAGGTGCTTTGGAAAGTAGGTTGATCCCCCTCGTGGCGGTCACTCAAATATTGGAACACTGCTATCATGTCACCCCTGGTCCTAAGCCTTCAAGTATGAAGAAGAAGAGTTAATTCTGGGTCTCCTTCTAGAAAGTCCAACGACTACACGTGACAAGATAAAGAAAATGGAGAATAGACAATCTCCGTGGAAAACCTCCAATAGAAGGATCTTTCCTTACCTATTGAGGGGGCCTCACACTGACCTTCCTCCTTGGAAATCCTTCTGGAACATGGACTGTGAGAGGGATTTACAGGGTGGACCTCGTCTTCAGGACAGTTGATGCCGACCTCCAGCAAAGACCTCAGAACCTGAAGGATAGACCAAGAAGCAAAGTTAAGAGACAAGAACTGGAATTTCATTTCTTGCCCACAATGTTGGCTAGACCTTTTGTGTCCATAATTTGGAATGGAAGGGGACGATGGGAGAATTGTTCCAAATATGCCATTTGGAAGAACACAGGAGCAAATGCTGCTAATAAGGTTCTCTAACCATCTCATTGCCTTATTAATCTCCAAAATTCTTAGGGAGACATTTAGGATTTCAAGTACATGAAGATCCCTCCATATTTCTCAAGAGGAGTGTCTCTCACCTCGTGTCCTCCCTGCTCCTTCTCTGCTTGGGTCAGCAGGAAGCCTTCGGCCAGGGCCACTGCCTGGCAACTGGTTTCCGGTTGGCACTCCTGCACCCAGCGCTGCATCTCTCCAGGCAGGACGGCCAGAAACTGCTCCAAGATCACCCGGTCCAACATCTGAGCCTTGGTGTGCTTCTCGGGCTGCAACCACCTGCAGCAAAG